CAGCGCTGAGAGCCGCTTTGCGTGGGGATTGGGTGGCGCGGGTTCTCTTCGGCCCGTTTGCCGTCGTGGTTTCGGGCGCAGAAGTGCCCCTAGCAGCGGGCCGGCGGCGACGGGCGCCGGCCGCTGCCAGGCTCCTCTCCCTCCTCCCGTCAGCGGGTGCATCGCTGTGGTGTCGAGGGGATTAAAAAGAGCATACTACTGTGTGAAAGGCAAGTTGAAGTATTTCACTGTTTATGTAGAAGAAGGGGTAATGAGACTTGATGAGTCTTGCTTATTGTCAAGAAATTTTAGGAGGACTCTTCTTATGAGCAAAGTTGCAAAACCACGGGTTGTTGTTGGGGGTTTTCCTGTTATCTTTATCTTGGTGTGATACTCTTAAATATGTTGTGCCAAATCGTGAGGTACCCTGAAGTTTTCTCACTGTTGGGGAAGGTGTTCTCGAGTAGGTGAGAGATTCATTGATTTCAGAGTTGCAAAGGAGATGGTCTGTTAGTGTCCTAGAGGAAGGGTTGAAATAACTACATCCATTATGAAGCATCCTAAAGATCATCCTTAAAGAAGGAAATGTTGTCCCATTAGTTTAATTAGAGGGTAGGATATGGAAAAGATTGCATAAGTTTTTTGTTCTTAAAAAACTACTACTGTTAATTCTGCAGGGGCAAAGTGCCATGCAAGATACCATGTATAGCTGCATAACAGAAGTTATTTCTGTCATTTAACTGGCAGGTTTTGTCAGGTACTGAATGCAGTCATGCAAGAGGACGTGAGACTTGTCTCTCTGGTGATAATCAATAATGTTTAGCTTTACAGTTATAAGAATATGTGCAGGATGACTAATGGGTAGTCAAGTCTGTACTGGGGTCATGCTTTCTCATGTTTTTTGCCTGAATTCCAGGTTTGAATAACGTGGGTTTTTTCTTGCCTCTGTAGGCTGGTTGGACTCCCTTACATATTGCTGCTTCAGCAGGCCGTGATGAAATTGTGAAAGCCCTCATTGCCAAGGGTGCTCATGTAAATGCTGTCAATCAGAACGGCTGTACTCCCCTGCATTATGCAGCCTCCAAAAATAAGCAGGAGGTATGTTTGCCTAGGCTACTGGAGGTGGCGTTGGTCTTGGAAGAAGAACTTAGTTATATTAACTTTTCCTCCTCCTCTCCCCTCTCCTTTCTCTTCCTACATATTCAGATTGCAGTCATGCTTTTAGAGAATGGAGCTGATCCGGATGCAACAGATCATTTTGAATCCACCCCATTGCACAGAGCAGCAGCCAAAGGAAACTTAAAAATGGTACAGATCCTTCTGCAGCACAATGCATCCGTTAATATACGGGACTCTGAAGGGAATACTCCTCTGTAAGTAATTTTTTTATTTTTGTTTTGCTTAATATAGGATAACCTCTGTGAAATGAAACTCCATTACTTCAATTTCTTTTTTTAATTTCTTGTTACCTCAAAATACTCCCTTGCTTCACACCCCTATGTAATTAAAAATGACTTGAGAAAATCATACATAGTATTTTGCCTAAGTGTGTCTGTACATACATACTTTAATCTGTGTTACTACATCTACTTAAAAAGTGTAGAACCCTTTTGTAATAATTTGGAATACGTTCAGTTGCCACTAGAGGGTAGAAAGCGAGCTAATGACATTAAAGTCAGAGGAAACTGGTCTTGCAGCTTGGCCTACTCTGTCCTGCCAAGGAAGAGCTAATTTTGGAAGCTTTTCTTCACCTCTGTAAGGAAAATAAATTGCAATTTAAGCTACAGTCAGTCCAGTGTTTGATATTACCTTTGAGATTAATTTGAATCTGTAAGGGTAAAACCTTAGGTGCTTTGAAGGTGGTGGCAAAACTCTGCCTTGTCTGCAGTGGAGTCAAGATTTTGTTGTGAATAAGATCAAGCAGTATGTTTTAGCTATACGTAAAACCCAGTGTTGTCCTGGAACACAAACATTTATCCTCAAGGTACTATGGGTGGAAAAAATGGAAATGGAAAAAAGCGTTTGCTGCGTTTGCAGTAACTCTTTTCTTCAAATTATTTTTAAGCAATGTACAATTTAGTTTGTCACTTTTGATTCAAACAGAGATTACCATTTTCCAGTGTCACTGTGGATTATGTGCTCCTTAGCTTTGCTGACTGCAGAGCCAAAACCTAATCTAAAGAAGTGTTTTCATGTTGCGAGGACAATAGCAGGAGGAACATTCTTGAGTTGCTTAATGACAACAGAGTGACTGGACAGCAAGCTTTGGAATCCGTGTAGGTAGTTGGTTGTGTGTGGTTTTGTTGTTCTAGGATGTATCTCCCTCCCAGCATTCATGCTGTCGTTTTGACAAGGCATAATCATTGCTCTTTATAAGCTTGGACTGTTTAATAGTGGCTGTGGGTTTCTTGTTCTTGTTACAGTCATTTAGCCTGCGATGAAGAGAGAGTGGAGGAGGCAAAGCTGCTGGTCTCTTATGGTGCAAGTATTCACATTGAGAATAAAGAAGAACTGACCCCACTGAAAGTGGCAAAAGGTGGCCTGGGAGCCATACTTAAAAGAATGGTGGAAAGCTAGTGGGGACTTCTGACTTGACTCTCTTTCCTGTTGCACTTGTATTTAAGACTGCAAACTTTGTATTTTGATAGTTTGACTAGGATGTCATGAATGGGCATCAGCATGGTAATAAAATGTGTATCTCTAGCTGTCCTTCGGGTACCGTGCCAAAACAACTGTTTGTACTTCCTGTTAATTAAGCAGTTCACTGATTTTAAAGTATTTTACAATATCTTGCAGTTTTCTTTCCATTTACAGTATGATCTGTATAAAGGCAGTCATTCTTCCTATTTCAGAATCCAGTTTAGGATTATTGCTTTCAGGCAGCAGGACCAAAAATGCTTTAACTATTTAAAATCAGTTTCATTTTGGAAGCTTATTCGAGAGTCTCTGCTTTTTCCCTTAGCCTGTGTGCTTTGTATGTGTTTTTTTGTTTGTTGTTTGTGGGTGCTGATTCTCTTCATTCAGATGATTCTAAACCACACCTCTCCATTTGGAGAATGTGGTTTGCTCAGTTACTTAGATAACCGTATCCATTTCCACTCTTCTTAGTCTATTCAAGTGCACTCTGAATGTTTAAAGCTTTTCTGTTGTTACCCTGTTTCTTTGAATCTTTAAATAGATGTATTTGATGAAGTGCACTGGACTGCTTGCAGAATGCAGGTGCGGTTTCAAGGTTACCTCTGCAAAGATACTTTTATTTAATGGATGGCTCTGGGTACTTTTCTGGTGTGTACTTCGAATATCATGTTATTTCCTCTTGCTCCTTCTGTAGGTTTCTTTTTCTGCTCTGTTTGACTCCCATCATGTAGCACTGACTCTCGCAGTTTCCCATCTTATTTTATAACAGAAGCCTGGTTTAATCTCTATCTACTCATAGCAAATCCTGGTGTTAAGTTTTCAGAAGGTAGAGCTAATGAGACCGAGTCTGAAAAGTGACCTTGTGTTCTGATGTTGGTAAGATCAATTTTGACACTAGTGGGATAGGTTTCCCCCTGCTGA